CTATATATATATAATATATATATATAAAACATATTTTGAGATAATTCAAATTTATTGTGTAGAAAGTAGTTTTGCTCACTAAATGCTTAAAAAACATGGAAATTCTATTTTCAAAATATGTGCACAGTAATTTCTAAATAAGCATAACAATATCATGTACAATCCCAGTTACTCTACCTAGAAAAGGGGTTTGAAAGTCCTCTTTTTTAAGACTTGCATTAATATCACAGGATTTCAAGTCAGAGAAAGATGTGTTCAGATCTTTGAATGACCAATTATTGTCTGGGCAGGCCATTTAGCCCCTCTGAGTGTCATCAGTAGACCTTTCGTTGGTGTTAATTGCCTTTGAATTGTTCTGACTCAATCATACTCCATGGACACCCGATACAGGGTTAAGCTGTATCGGGTATCCACGGAGTAGCTGGTGGGTTTGAACCACCAATCTTGTAGTTAGTTGTTGCTGTTGTTGATTGCTGTTGAGTCAGTTCCAACTCCTAGTAATGCTGTAGAGGGTTTCTGAGGAGCGCTCGAGCCTCTGAGTTTGCTATTCAAACCAACTTTGCAGTCCAGTACAAGCACCACACCAGGACTCTAGTGCTTATGCTATGGTGCCACACAAGGACTCCCATAGTAGACTAGGGTGGTAAGAATATCTGCTTGTGTTATTGAGTTGCTTTAAGATCCATGAGCTAATAATTGGAGGAGTACTATGTGTCTGTAAAACATATATGTTATGTGCCTTTGAGTCAGTTCCGACAGCAGCGAACATGTATAGGGTTTCTGAGGAGCTTCTGGTGGGCTTGAACCGCTGATTTTGTAGTTCAAACTGACTTTGAAGTCCAGTGCAGTAACCCACAGCACAACATATATTAATGGGGAAATGGAATTAAAAGATAATGTAATTTTCCCATAAACTCTTTGAATCCCTTTCTCATATAAAGGTTAAGTGGTACTCCCCAGGGCTAAACCTGAGCATAAACAGGAAATTGATTCTACTCCCATATGAACTAAGCATACATCTATCAGGATTTAGGGGTCACACTCTTATGTATGGTTGTCTTTGTTATGGAGTGTTGCTATAATAGAAATAGCACGAGTGTCATTAACAAACAGCAGTGTATTTTCTGACTGTCAGGAGGCTACAAGTCTGAATTCAGGGTGTTGGTCCATGGCTGCCTTTCTCCGTGGACTGTGAAAGAAGGTTCTTGGCTCTTCTGAGCTTCTGTTCTGATGTGGCTTGACATCTATCTTTGCTTTATTTTTGCCTGCATACTTGCTTGTTTGTGCTTTATCAAGAGATTGATTTAAGATACATCCTATACTAATACTGCCTCACATAACAAAGAAAATCCATTCCCAAATGGGATTATAATCACAGGTGTAAGGATTAGGATTTGCAATACATATTTTTGGAAAATACACTTTAAATCACAACATTGATGAAAAATGTTCCCTCAGGATTTGGATGTTCTGAGGGAAGATGGGAATTTAACAGCATACTGATACTGAATGAAACCAAACCCATTTTCGTGAAGTTGTTTCAATTTATAGCAATTTATACAGACACATATAATTTCTAAGAACCTACTGACTACCAAATTCTGATCTAGTCTTAACAAACTAATGTGCATAAAAAAAAAGAAACTTAAAATTCTACTTAAAGTTAAAATATTGTATTTTTCAGAACGCTGCAAATGTAAGCCTATTAGAGCTACACAGAAGACCTATTTCCGGAACAATTACAACTATGGTAAGGATATCTGCAAGGAAGACCTAGAAACTGCTGCGTAAGAAATCCGTGTATGTTTGTGTGTACGTGTAAACAAGTACAGCAGTTTAAAAATAAGTATTAAAAACAAACACAACTTTTGGGAGCATAGTCCCTTTGCCAAAACAATTAAAATGTCTCATGTGGATAAAATTCTGAGTAAATGTTTGATTTTAAAGCATATTAAACTAGCTGCCTTTGAGTTGATTCTAACTGATGATGAGCTCATGTGTGTCAAAGTAGAATGGTGCTCAATTAGATTTTTTGGTGTGTGTGTTTCAACAAAACCACTTTTTTGTGTGTAATTATCATATCTAATGTGGAATTCACATTCAGATTTTAACAATTATTGTCATGTTCTGCATAGCCAGTCCTCCTCCCCCAAATCCTTTCTGCAGAATGTTATATTTAGTTGTCATGTCTGTTTAATCTCCTTTAATCTGGAACAGAGCTTTGGCTTTTTAAAAATCTTTTATGACTTTGACATCTTTGAAGAAGACAGGCCAGTTTTGTAGACTATCCCACAATTTGAGCTGGCCTATTTCTTCACTTTTTAGATGTAGATCATACATACCATTTTGGGTGAGGAGCTATGTGAATGATGTGTCCTTCATGTATGACATTAGAAATTGTATGATGCCTGTTGCTCCTGTTGGTAATGTTGACTTGGATTACTTGGTTAAAGATCAGTTGGTGTCCAACCAATTTTCCCTTCATGAAGCTTCATTTTCCCTTTAAAAATAGCTTCTTCATAGATGTGGAGAAACAGTAGCTCCAATGAGCTTTTAATGGCTGGTTTTTGGAAGCAGATTAGCTGGTCTTTTTTTTTTTTTTAGGTGTCTCTGCGTCAATTTGAATCTCCATTGTTTGGAGTGAAGTAATAGTTTGCACTACCCAGAAAATTTAAAACATATTAGGTAGCATTCACAGTACCTTAGAACCATCCAAGAAAGTACACAGGGATGAATTTCAAAATAGGTGAGACTCTTTTCTATCTGAAGGCTGAGAATTTGAGTTCGTGTGTGTGGAGTTTCAGGTTGTATTTTAACTTTGGCTACATAAAGATAAATAGAAGAGCACTTTGATGCATTGTTGTTGTTGTTAGGTGCTACTGAATTGGTTCCAACTCATAGCAACCATATGCACAAAAGAATGAAATGCCGCCTGGTCCTGCCCAGTCCTCACAATCATTGTTCTGTTTGAGCCCATGGCTACTGCCCCATGCCAGCCCATCTCACTGAGGGTCTTCCTCTATTCCCTGACACTCTAATTTCCCAAGCATGCTGTCCTACTCTCCTGATTTTATGTCCAGAGTCAGAGAGATGAAGTCTCACCATCCTGGCTTCCAAGGAGCTTTCTGACTGTGCTTCTTCCAACACAGAGTCTTCTGACAGTCCATGGTACTTTTCATATTCTTCTCCACCACCTTCCTCAGAAATGGTTGAATGAACCAATTTTGTTTTTTTCCCCATCATTATACCCATGGAAAGCATTGACAGAGCTAGAAAGTAACACTGAAAAGAAGTAGTTGCTAGATACTTCTATAATATATTTATATTTTGGTAGCGTAGTGGTTATAAGTCAGACTGCTAATCGCACAGTCAGCAGTTCGAAACTACCAGTGGTTCGATGGGAGGAAGATGAGGTTTTCTGTTCCTGTAAAGATTTACAGCCTTGGAAACCCTATACAGCATTGCTATGAGTCAGAACCAACTCCACAGCACACCACCAGCACCAGCACCAGCAACTATAATATTTCTTTAGTTAGCTAAGTCTAGAAATGTGGCATTCTGATAAACTAAATATTAATTGAATGGCTACAAATCCAAATGTAGCTGCCAAACTCAATGGTAAGAGAACAAAGCCTGCCAATTCTGTGCAAGGAACTGCGCTCCATCTTAACACTGTGAGATATGATATTATTCTGATTTTGTCAGTGATTATTGAGTAAAGTTGTCCTTTCAGTTATATTTAGAATGTACAATTGGATATTGGTGTGCTTCTTACTCAATTACCTTCATATTTAGAAGAATCAATTGATAGAGTTTCCAGTTGATAAGTAAGGGAAAAATCAATATTTATTGTACTCCAGCATCTATGGTGTAGGATAAGCACTGGACTGCTAACCTTAAGGTTGACGGCTCCTTGAAAACTCGATACAGAGTTGCTATAAGTTGGAATCAACTCAACGGCACTTAACAACAACAACAATATGAATTAATAAAGATCATAAAAAGACTTATGATGCAGAATCGATGAATAAACTTGGCAATTAAATAGATTTTAAAGTGAACTTTTCACTATTAACCTGTACTTAATTATTACGTTTATAAGCCCTGTTTTAGAGAATGTTGGGCATCGAGAGAATATTTATTTCTACTTTTATACTTTATGGAAATCAGAAGGAAAGAAATAGGTAAACCCTCTGGAAGTATGTATTAAAAAACTATATAAAATTCTCAGTTTAAAATTAAACCTCTTTAAAAATAAGTTTTTAAATGCACCAAGTTTTTCTCCAATGGAATGAATTATTACTATTATGATTTTGCTAACTACTTTAAGAGCAGCCTCCTTTGTCTTAGTCAATGATGGATGAATCCTCCAAGGTTGAAAGGTTATGTTGATAGAAGAATCCAAATGCCTGACTTCTTTTTTGAGGACCTGTTCCTTTACAAACTAATGTGGAAACCTTTAAGGGTCTTAATTTTTAGGAGTTTAGTTTTCTAAGATTGAAAAACGCTATATGGATTTAAGTATAGTTATACTAGAACCAAAAGTACAAATAAGAAAAAAATAAATCAGGGAAACTTAGTTGAGTTAGTATTTATTTTATGTGTCTTTACTTATTAGTTTTTATTTATCCAACATCCTTAGTGCTGAAATAGTTGGTGCTGCTACTGCGGTAAAAATTGAAATACTAGTGGTTAGACGTCATGGAAAGGGAAGATCTTAAAGAGAGGAGCTGAATGAATGTAATAAAATAATATAGGGTACAGATTACATTAGAGGAAAAGAGAGTTTATTTCTCCTACTGGAACTGACTCCACAGCACATAACCACAACTCACAGTTGTTGAACAACTCGACAGCACTTAACAACAAGTCAATTGGTAGCCATGGTGCTCACAACTTAAGGATTTTAATTTGTTTGAAACTTTCATTTTATTTGGGGAAAGCAGGAACTAAAATAATTAATTAGAAGAAAAATATTTAAAAAGAAAATGGATGTTTCTTTCCAAAATGTGTTGATTTTTCTTTCTTACCATATCTCTGCTTGTGTCTATCAAGAAATCAAAGAGAAAATGAGAGCAAATGATAATTCAGATAGATTCGTACACCCCCAAATGCAAAAAACAATATGCTGATTCATTCAGTCAAAATTCTGGAGTTTTAGCAAAATTACTTGAATAATAAAATAGGTCTTGTAGAGAGATATTTATTTTGGAGTTGGTACATGTGTTAAAAGTTTCTAATGAAAATAGTCACATTGGGTAAATAAATCATTAGTTTGAGAACATTACACAGTTCACTAATCTTTAGTATTTGTAGGATGCAATAAGACACAAAAAAATATCTCCTGGCTGGAGTTCTGAATATATCATCTGATTTTCCCTACTGGCATTTGGAAAAGAGCAATCTTAATTTTTGTTAAAATACAGACTAGAGAGAACTGTAATAGAAATGGATTCCTTGCCAATCTTGCCAAGCAGGAATGGCTAGACAGCTTGCTACAAGTTCTCAGGCAGATGAGTCTCTGAAACAAAAATAAGGTTTGGTGCTAAAGTATTTTTCTTAAAAAATTGAAAAAAATACACATTTTACTGAAAGTTTATTTATTTTATGAGAAAGTTTATGTGAAAGTTTACAGTGCCAATTTCACATTCAACACGTTATACACATTCTTGTCAGTGACATTAGTTGCAATCCCTCAATGCTAAAGTTTTTAGAATTAGTTAGTAACTTAATTTTTGTTTATATGTTATGTTGTTGTGTGCGATGAAGTCAGTCCTAACTCTTAGTGACCCTAGATAGGGTTTCTGAGACAGTAAATCTTTACAGGACCAGAAAGCCTCCTCTTTCTTCCATAGAGTGGCTGGTAGATTCGAACTGTTGGCCCTATCATTACCAGCCAATGCATAACCCACTCACTACACCATCAGGGCTCCCTGGTATGCTTACTGTTGGAATAGTAATGAGTCAATTTTGGATGAAGTTGGGAGATTGACAGAAGAATGGTTTATTAGCTAGCTTTATACTTTCATGGATTATTTTTCCCCATTCCTTTGTAGCTCAAAACCCCTAAAATATGTGGGAAAGGATCCAGGTGAAAATGGCTCTCAGGAAGTGGATTCTTTTGGGTAGCCATTATGGATATTGAAGTAAAGCCATTGGCTTCTCACTAATTACAGTTTTACTTCTCCGTAGCCTTTTCCAAACTCTTTTTTCTTTAAAAACAAAGCAAAACAAAAACATTTATCTGAAGTAGAAACCTAAAGAATTTGACTCTTCCTAAAGGAGAGAGATACAGAAAAGACACAAAACTGTAATTTTTTTCTTTAGACTCTGCCAGCTACTTTGGCTTTGCAAAGGATTGGTTTCTTTATTTTAAAGGTAGTTTGGCTACAGATTAAGAAGTCAGATGAATCTTGTAAGATAAATTGGACCCCAGAATTTCTGCTGCTGGTAGTAGTGGTGGTGTGCCATTGAGTCAGTTCCTACTCACAGTGACCCTGATGGATTTAAACTGCTGACCTTGTGGTTAGCAGCCCAACTTGTAACACACTATGCTACCAGAGAGTATCTACTTTAATATCTACTAAGAGAAGAGGTAGAATAATAAAATGGTTGTTTCAGAACATAGTCTGTCTGTAGCATGTATGTAGAAGGGATGTTGGTGTGCTTAACTTCAAAGCAAATGAAGGAAATAAAATCTAAGGGTGGCAACTGAACTGCTATCCACAAGGTTGGTGGTTCAAACCCAAAAGTCACTCCTTGGGAACCCTATACAGGGTTGTTATGAGTCAGAACCAACTCGATGGCACTTAATAACAGCAACAACAGTAAAACAAAGGAACAGTGCAACTGAGGGTTGAACAATGAGGTAAGATAAGGAAGATAAAAGGTCATAAAATTAATTTGAGAACACTATGAGACAGAATCACTTTATCACACTAAACAGTCCCTCAGAAAATATATGAGTAGACCTGATAAAAACATGCTGGCAAGAAAACAAAGCATTTTTGTTGTTAAGTACTGTTGAGTTTGTTCCTTTATAGGTTTCTGAGAAGCAGCTGGTAAGTTTGAACAGCTGAGCTTCTGGTTCGCAGTCCAGAGCGATGGTGAAGTTAACATAGTTTAAGTTCCTGTAGACAGAGATTGAAATTGGAGTAAAATGATTTCAGGATATTCACTTAACTTTTGATTACTTAAGTCTCTTCCAATGAGACACATGCCCACATATGTACACATACACACAAACATACACACTGCGGGAAGGGGGTGGCACTAAGCATTAAGGGGGCAGAGGTGTCATTCAGTACAGCCTAAGGCAAAATATCTGAGTGATTTTTCTCCTCTATTCACTGAACATCAGGTAGATAAGAATTGACAGGACAAAAGCCAACTTGTCTATTTTGTTTTCAAATGAGGCACCAAGTGTGTATCATATTACCATATAACCTTTATTGTCTTTTATCTCAGTCATTCGGGCAAAAGTTAAAGAGATAAAGACAAAGTGCCATGATGTGACTGCAGTAGTCGAAGTGAAGGAGATTCTGAAGGCTTCACTGGTAAACATTCCAAGAGACACTGTGAACCTTTATACCAGCTCTGGATGCCTGTGTCCTCCACTTAACGTTAATGAGGAATATGTCATCATGGGCTATGAAGATGAGGAACGTTCCAGGTAATTCACTCCTTAAGGATTTAGAAACATTTCTTTGCCTCTCTCACTGATTGCAATTCTTTCTAGAGATCTTTCCTTTGATATCTGTGTACCTTCTAGGGAATCATAAATGGGTTTTCAATGGATCCCACAATTTTATATATTGGATTCAAAAGTACATATATGCATTTTTTTCTGGGCGAGGATTCATAACTTTTATTTTATCCTGAAAGAGGCTTGTGACTTCCAAAAGGTAAAGAATCATACTCTAAAACTTTGCTTTCCCAGTCTTGATTATACAGATAAATTCTTGGCACCAATTCTTTGTATTTATCAGTGGTATGTCTTAACTTTCAAAAAGGATTGCTTCTTTAATTGTACAGATTACTCCTGGTGGAAGGTTCTATAGCTGAGAAATGGAAAGATCGACTTGGTAAAAAAGTTAAGGTAAGCTTCTATTTTATAACCAAAGTAATACACACACATACATATACACAAAATAGAAAACCAGCCATCTATCACTTAAATTTGATAGTTTCCCTTAACTGCATTGTTGTTGTTATGTGCCTTTGAGTTGGTTCTGACTCACAGTGACCCTGTGTAGGGTTTCCAAGGAGTGGCTAGTGAATTTGAACCACTGAGCTTGTGGTTCAAACTGACCTTTTGGTCCATTGCATTATCCTGTCAAAATCTGAAATAAATACGTTGAAAACTCTAAGGACTAAGTTTGTCTTTGATGTTTATTTGATTTAAGGAATAAATTTTTCAGCACTACGAGGTGTCTAGCTTCTCACAATGAAAAACCTAGAAGTAATCAGTCCAGTGCTGATAAGGGGGTCCCATGTTGCCATTAGGGCTCCAGGCTTCTTCTAGCATTTTACTCTGCCATTCTTAATGCTCACTCAGAAGTCACAAGATGGCAGCTAACCTCCAACATCTTGTCTCCATTTCAGGCAAAAAGAGAGGGTAAAGGGGTTCCTAGGTACCCCATCCAGTAACTTTTGCTTATATCTCTTTGATCAGAATTGGATCACATGTCCATTTCTAACTGCCAGAAGCTGAGAAATGCAGTTATTTAACTGAGCATATTGCTGTGGGCTAATGAGTCAGACTGCAAAGTCATTTGAAGTACAGGGTCAGTGGTTCAAGCTCACCAGCTGCTCCTTGGAAACCCTATACAGGGTCGCAATTGACTCAACAGCACTTAATAACAATAACAAAGTGCTTCACTTAATAAAATGACATTTATTCAAAGTCAAAGAAAAAAAACACACAAGTTACACTGGAGTAAATTCTGAATTGTGGTGACCCCATGTGTGTCAGAGAAGAACAGCACTTCATGGGCTTTTTGAGGCTGATATTTCAGAAGTAGTTCACCATGTCTTTCTTCCGAGGTGCTTCAGTATAAACACGAACCTCCAATCTATAGGTTAGCAATCAAACACGCTAGAAGTTTATACCACCAATGGACTCCATGGGTCAAACAAAGGGAGAGTAAATGATAGGTAGGAAACGGCCAATGTCTGTCTAAATATAAGGCAGTTTCAACAAGTTCGTGAAAAATATCATTAACAGATAATGGAATTTTTCCATGAACTTTTTGCAGCCCACTCATACACAGACACCAATTCCTGTGCAACTGCACTCATCTGTATATAAGAAATTGTACCAAATAGGACCCTTAAAGCTGTAAGATAGCTTTACTTTTAAGCCGATGATGCTTAGATCTGGAGTGGAAACTTTTTTTTTTTCAATCACACAGTAAAATACTTTCTTATAAAGGGTTATATTTCTTCCTACTACCCTAACTGAATCTGCTTCAAAGAAAATAATGTGGGACAGTCTGTGTAAAGGGACAAGAAATCTAAAAGGCTGTGTGTGAAGCGGGGGTGGAATCTGTACCAAACATAAAACATCCTCTTTCTTCTGCAAGTTTCAAGGCTTGGGAAAATTTGCAGGGTAGGTTAAATACCCTTGGGCAGTTTATCATCTACATCTGGCACTTGACACAGAAGACACATTTGGATTTAAGTGACCTACAGAAATGTAGAAGGAATTGTTTTTCATGAAGAAATCACCCTCCAGCAAGTACTTTTAACCCATACCCCAGTATTTTTGTCAAAAGTGATAATGCATTTCATGTTCAGATTTCTGCAAGTTCTTTATTTATATCTCTTCAATAAGTTTGGTGGTTGTTAAAAGAAAAAAGTGTCTCTTAAGTGTGTTGGATTCTCTTACTGTCCTTTAAATTAGGTTTTCTACTTGCTAATGCAGCACAGGAAAGTGTTCTAAATTTCTGTACCAGTTGGGAGAGCTTTTAGCATCCCTGCTAAAAAGCATGCAATAAGGTTTGCTGCTATTCTTTTGGTACCAAAACAATATCATCATGTAAAGACCCAGAGCATATGACTTCATTTGTCCTATTTCTGAATCAGGGGAACATGTTCCCATTGCCTTCTACAGGGAATTCACAAAAGTTATTATTGGGAGGTTGTTTATATTACATCTGGATTTAACCATGCCCAAGGGAAGAAATGAACCAATAACTTAAAAAAATTTTATTCCATATCTAGATATTTAGGGCTAACCTGCTTAAGTTAAAAAAAAAAAAATGTCTCTTTGGGCTAGAATGATTGAGATCTATACTTAATGTAATGTTTTACTCAATTTGAGGATGCAAGCAAGAGTTTTATGGAATCCATTTAAAAAAAAAAAATGTTAAGACCTAATGACAATGCTGAGTGGTGGAGGTGGTGATATGCCATGGAGTCAGTTCTGACTCACAGCAACCCTGTACAGGTTTTCCGAGGCTATAAATCTTTATGGGAGCAGAAAGCCTCATCTTTCTCCCATAGAATAGCTGGTAGTTTCAAACTGCTGACCTTAAGGTTCACAGCCCAATTCGTAACCACTATGAATGCTGAGTAAATGGTTTAAATGCTTAAGTCTTTGTTAAGGTAGATTATTCAAGTTAAAATATTTGGGCTGTATTGGGGAGCTGATAATTACACTGTCTAACCTTTTTAGATATGAAAAACAATCACTTTTAAATTTCAGGACAAAAATGTACTAAATGAAGAAAGAATTGCTACTTCCAGTAATAGGAAAATCATAACAGTGGCTAATAGTTATTAATGTGCTAAATGCTTTATAAATTGTCATCAGCTAATTTTCAGAATACTCTTTTAAGTAGATTTTTTTTTAATGTCATTGTTGTAAATGATGAAAATAAGGACTAGTGAGTTGAAGAAACTTATAACATTGAAAGAGGAAGCTAGAATTTAAACTGAGCCATCGGATATTAGCTCCTTACTACTCTAAGTGAAGTCCTAGACTAGCAATGTAAGTATCACTGGGGAGCTTGTTAGGAATGAAATGGAGTCCTGGCATGGCAATTTGGATTAATGTGCTGAACTGCAAGGTCAGTTTGAACTGAAGGTCAAGCTTTACTCATTCCTTGGAAACCCTACACAAGGATGCTGTAAGTTGGAGCCATCTCTGTGGTACTTAACAACAAGAACGACTATAGTCTTGGGAATCCTGGTGTGGCACTGTAGGATAAGTACTGTACTGCTAACTGCAAAGTCGTTGTTTCAAACTCACCGGCTGCTTCTTGGGAACCCTGTACATGGCCCCTGTGTGTATGAGTTGAAACCGACTCAACAGCACTTACAAGCACAATAACAACAACTGTGGTCCTGTGTCTTATTCAGTAACTATGATACTCATAATATGCTGTTGTAAGCGCCACTGAGTCAGTTCAGACTCATAGCAACCCTGTATAGGGTTTCTGAGGAGTGAGTGGTGAGCTTGAATCGTGCTGACCTTGCAGTTCAAACCGAACTTGCTGTCCAGCGTATTAATCTACAGCACCACACCAGGACTCTACTCATAATATAAATTACTTTTAATCGATGATATTGTATGTCAACACTATTAACTGTTAATATGAAATGTTAGTAAGTTTGATCAGGGCTATCATGGTGGCTATGTTCTTTCTTTGTAAAGTTAGCATTGAGAGCAGAACCGTGCCTGATTTATTTGCTGTACTTAGAAGATGTCACATAGAAAAATATTTTCAACAGACATACCCATCAATACCCCCCAAATCTCCATTTTTTAAAGTTGCTCAATTCACACAGACTTTAAAAGGTTATGGTCTTTTGTGTCTTTAAAGAGGAAGATGAAGCATAATTCTTTTGAATTCTGTAAGTCTTGCATTTGCTGAGCATTTTTTGAAAACCAGGTAGTGTAGTTTCAGGAAAACCTCAGAGATATTAGTAGATACTTGTATCCCCCTTACTGAACTATATTATGGTAGGCCAATTTTACTTTGTGCTTTTAACATCAGAGAACTATATTTATGTAACATAGTTTTAGTTGTTGCCTTGGGATATGGATTTTATGCTTTAGGGACAAGTAGTAAAATGCTTTAGCAATCTGACTTTATGGTCTTATTCAGTTGTTCAGTAATACAGAAATGATGATAATCCTGTTGAGATATGCACGTGAGCATTTTCTGTTTTACATTTCACAGCGCTGGGATATGAAGCTCCGTCATCTTGGACTGAGTAAAAGTGATTCTAGCCATAGTGATTCCACTCAGAGTCAGAAGTCTGGCAGGAGCTCTAACCCTCGGCAGGCGCGCAACTAAATTTATAGAAGCAAAGAAAGTATGATCAGTGGACTTCCTATGAAGACTTGCATTTCTGGACAACAAAGAAAAATTGCACTATTGCACGTCATATTCTATAATTTACTACAAATTCATGTGCTAACTTATACTACTTCTATTTTCTCTCTTGTTTTCTGCTTTTCTTTCCTTCTCCCCTCCCCTCTTTGTGGTCTGGCTGCAGATACTTAAATAATTATATATTTTCTATTTCACTAATCATGGGAAAAACTGTACTTTTGCAATAATACTAATAATAAATTAAACATGCTGATATCAAGACCTCTCTTTGCTGGAGTTCCCAGATGCTGATTGACTGTTCTGATTGGCAATACAATAGTGGATGCAGAGATTTCTGATAAACACAGAAAACTAGATAAGCCGTAAAACATACACTGCTGATCTAATTACAGCTTCATTTTCCTCTGCCTTTGGGCATTTTCCTCCTACTTAGGATGTTTTAAATGTTTATGAAGGTAAAATGGCAGCTTGAAACCAAATGCCACATAGGCAAAGCAATCAAACACCAGGAAACATTTATGCTGAAATGACACACAAGATGATTTATTTACAAGATTGGCAGGAAGCAAAATAAATAATGTTAGGAATTGTAGAAACAACATTTTGCTTGATTGGGAAGCACAACTGAAACCAGTAGCCTGTTGGGGCTTTAACAGTAGCATATTAAAAAAAATTTTTTTTTTTGCAATATATTTGCTTTGCTCATGACTATATTAACTGACATTAGGGAAATGAATTATAACTAGACATCTGTCATTATCAGCATAGCTTCTTTTAATTTAAAAAAAAAAAAAAATTTTGATTTGTGCATTGACCAGGAAAAGAATGTCTGTATGTACATGAAACAGCATGTTATTTTTTAAAGGTATGTAGTTCTATAAGGTGTTATAGTTTGCAGGATGGTGAAATGTGCCAGCTTTTTTTCTTTTTTAAATATATGTATGTATTTGTGTACATATGTGTCTGTGCATTCTCACCCAAGGTGGACTGAATTACCAGGCTCATGTGCTGATGCTGGCCTGCACTTTATCCTTAGGTTTGTGCTGTTTAATCCTCAGCAAAATATATCTAGTAAAAGGAATTGTGATTGTTAGGAGAGAGGTTATTACGAAGTATGAATCAAATGCACATTCTTGTTACCCAAAGTGCAGCGTGATCTCCAGGGATCATGGGGAACCAATGATGCTTTTACTTGCTTCCTCCTGCAGGTTTTTTTTTTTAAAGCCTGTGCAAATCATTTGGAAGTCTCATTCCCTTCAACTTACATGTGTGATATTAGTAGAAACAAATTTCTAAGCTATGATATGCTAAAAATAAAACAATTATGAAGCAAAATGGTGCTGTGTTTCCTTTCACAAGGATAATTTTTCAAGGATGAAATTCATTCCTGGACAAGTTTCCTAAAAGGGTTAACGTTGTTGCTATTAGATGCCATCGAGTCGATTCCTGTGTACAACAGAATGAAACACTGCCCAGAGCTGTGCCTCCTCACAGTTGTTAACGTTTGTGCACATTGCTGCAACCACTGTGCCTGTCCGTCTCAATGAGGGATGGTAAATAGTAATCCATTTAAGTTTCTCTCAAAATTAAGAGAAGACTTGTTTTCTGACTGACCCCCAGCCCACAATAGTTTCCCTAGTCCCAGAAGAAAGCGATCTCACTTTTGGCCACATGCAGATTGTGTAGTCTTTTGGGTTACTGTACGGTTGCTCTCAGATAATTTTGCTGCTTATCATTTAGCCATTATTCTCAGAAGTCTAAGGCAGGGCCATCTTCCACTAGATGCATCTATTGCGGCCTTAAAAAGGTAAATTTGGGAGTCACACACAGAGGAATAATGGTGTGTCACACTGGAGGTACTGCACAGCAACAGCTCTTTGATAATTAAAAAAAAATTTTTTTTTCGTTTTGTTTTTTTCTGTTGTTGAGAATCTACACAGCAAAACACACACCAATCCAACAGTTTCTACCTGTGCAATACAGTGCCACTAACTCTGTAGTCTCTGAGTTGTGCAACCATTCTCATCTTCTTTTCTAAGCTGTTCCACCCGTGTTAAATGATCTTGTTGTTTGTTGTTGTTAAGTGCCGTTGAGTCAGTTCCGACCCATAGCGACCCTGTATAGGGTTTCCAAGGAGCAGCTGGTGAGCTTGAACCACCGACCTTTCAGTTCAAATGGCTTTGCTGTCTGGCACATTAACCCACAGCGCCACACCAGGACTCCTATTGCCCCCTCAAGTGCCTATGTAATTTCTGAGTTGACGTTGTCAATTTGATCCTGTATGGCTGTTGTTTTTAAGTGCCATAGACTCAGTTCCAACTCATAGTGATCCTGTATAGGGTTTCCAAGGAGGGGTTGGTGGATTTGAACTGCCAACCTTGCAGTTCAAACCGAACTTGTAGTCCAGTTCTTATCCTACAATGCCACACCAGGACTCAGTATAGTTAGATCTTAAGAGAGCCTAATGCTCAAGGCTGACACTGTTTATTATTTAAGCTAAACTTTTGTTTGGTTTTAAGAAGACTTAAGAGGATATCTTTGGTTTTAAGATGATCTCAAGTCAACAGTTTTGGTGGTTTATCCAGCCTCCATGGCTTCAGAAAACCTGGGTTTCATGAGCATTTGAAAATTTGTTCTATATTTCCTCCCTTTTGATCACAACTATTCTGTAGCATCTTTGATAAAAATGCTCAGTAATGGTAGCCAGGTACCATCCAGGATGTTCTGGTCTCATGGCAAAGGACACAGTTGTTCACGGAGGCAATTCCTATCACATTCCATATCCTCCTTCTATTTCTGGTTCTTCTCTTCCCTCTGTGACCTTAGGGGAATAGAGACCAATTTTTGTGTCTTGACTGGCAGCTTGCCAGATGTTAAGACTATAGACACTGTGCAATGAACTAGGAGATAGAGCAGAAGGACTAAAAATTTTATTAGGCCAATTGACAGGATGTTCCATGAAACCATGACCCTCAACCAAGGGATTTATGCCTCAACTGAGTTCCAAGTACAGAGGACTAGAGCTTGATGCCTCCCTCTGTGTGGTCTTTAATTTTTTTTAAGATTTAAAAAATATATATCTTAACTATGAAAATAGAGCAAGAATTGACTGTATGATATTTAAAGGGACTGGTATCTCAAATCCACAATATGTCAGCAACTCTTTTAAAGCACACATGTTGCTGTCTAGTCTATTCTAATTTGTGGCAACTCTGTAGGACATAGTAGAATTGCCGCATAAAGTTTCCAAGGTGTGGTATTGTAGGGTCAGTACTGGATTTTGAACCACAAAGTTGACAGTTCAAACCTACCAGCTGCTCCTCGGAAACCAAATACAGGGTAGCTATGAATCAGAACTGACTCAATGACATTTAACAACAACAATCTTTACAGAAGTTGACTGACCCATCTTTTTCCTGCACACTAAGAGCAATTTTAAATGATGAAATATTTTGGTGGACAATGAAAGTCACCGATGGTTGTAGCTCCTGAAGTTTGTTAAGTACCTAGTATGAATTCGTGTTAATGTTGTTAAGTGCCATTGAGTAGGTTCTGACTCAAGCGACCCTTATAAGGTTTCTGAGGAGCAGCTGGTAGGTTTGACTGCTAACCTTGTGGCTGGCAGTTCAGTGTTTATCCTAGTGTGCCACACCAGGACCCTGTCAAACATATAGGAGTGTTCAATAAGTATTAATTCCATTCCTCACACCCCTCTTTTTTTTTTTTTTTTCCTAATCATCACTATAAAGTAGAAAACTCTTTTCAAAAATTTTCCTTTAAACAGACTAACTCAGTGCTTGGCTCTCTTACAGTTTTTGTTGTAGTTGATCCTGACAATGGCCCTGTCAGATACAGATCATCCTGTTTGTTGTCATTCAGTAAACTGAAGCTCATGGTGGTTACATAATGTACCCCGGGTCTCACACTTGTAAGCAGAGGGAAGTCTGTGTCACATAGAGACTTCTATAAACCCATTGCTTTTGACCCATTTCTAACTCACAGCAACCTTATAGGACAGAGCACAACTGTTTTTAGCTTTTTATTGGAATTTGGGTGAAAGTTTTTGGAGCAAATTGGTTTTCCATTTACTAATTCATGCATATTATGTCTCTACGAATTTTACTAGCAGGTACTGACTTTCAAAGCAAATAAGATTTTAATATGCATACATCCTTGTTAGTAACCTTGAGATATATAACATTAATTTTAAAGTTTTGGGAACAATTTATTCACCTTCAGAATTTCAATTTTCTTATCCAAAAAAAAAAAAGTGCCAGATGAGTGCTGAATAATCTGGCAAAAATAAAAATCACAGCAAACTTGGGCTTTCTTATTCATGGATATGTGAGTCTTTTACTATGTCACATAGAGACTGTAATCTGATTCAGTGCCATATGTTGTACTGAGCAGTTGGGTGTGGGGTGGGACAGACCCATGTCTTTCCACATCTGTTATCTATTATTTAAGAAAGCAAGCACAAAAGTTACAATCACTGAGCATAAATAGCACTATTTAATGCCTTCTGCAAGAAATTATTTGCTATTACATTTCAACAAGTTAAATGACTAAAAAATAAATATTTCAAGTTTGGTGTTTACTTAGCATTATGAATTTTAATGTATTTTAAATACACACACGTGTTCAAGAAGATGGTAAGAAGGAGGTGAAGTGGAGATTTTTTAATACTGTGTTACTGAACTCAAGCTTTTGGAATTAAAAAATATAGTCCCCAGCTGTATTAACATTAGCAAAAGCAGTAAAGCCAGACCTTTTGATAATCATATCGTTTAACAGTAGTTAATGATATAAAACATTTGCGCTGTTACAACCTGATTCAATCCTTGAACGTCTGTGAAGTTGGTATTGTTATTCTCATTTTATACAAGAAAAAATTGAGGATTTAAACCTCGGTGTTGTATAGGTAACAAAGCATAGCCTGTTATTCTTTTTTCTCATGTTATTGGAGCTCTGGTGGTGCACAGGTTTAAGTTCTCAGCTGCTAACCTAAAGATCGACAGTTCAAACTGGCCAGTTGCTCTGCAGGAGAAAGATGCGGAATCTGCTTCCATAACGATTTCCAGCCATGGGAATCCTATGGAGCAGTTCCACTCTAAGAGGGTCACTCTGAGTCAGAACTGACTGGATCGCAGTGGCTTTCGTTTTGGTGGCTGTGAGTTGTTGTTGTTATGTGCTGTCGTCAGTTCTGACTCATAGCGAAACTGTACAGGTTTTCCCAGACTGTAAATCTTTAT